CGGGAAATTCCCTCTAACCGACAGGAGAAAGGCTGGTCCCATCTCAGTAACCAGCCCAAGCTCCTTGCAGCCAAAGTCCACAAATACTCATGAGAACATCGGTGAACAGCGTGCTGAAACTGGGTGAGAAATTTGATCTTATCCTACTCTATATCCTGAATTTTTGGAAACACCCCAAGAAGCAAAAAAGCCTCCAAAAGGAAGGGGAGCTTCGCCCCATCCTCCCACCAAAGGAAGCAGCAAATTAAACTATTAAGAGGGACAGAAACATACTGTTGCTGACATCTAGTGAAGGAAGAGAATATATAACTTTAGCTGCTTTGTTATAAGTATTGGCAGGACGCCCAGAATGAGATAACCTACTTCTTTGGTTTTTTTTAAAAAAAGCTAAACAAAACATTCTAAGCCAGCCATAATAAGCAAAGACTATAATTGAAAAAAACATAACTGACCTTCCTGGATGATAAACACCTACTGACTGTGACTTTTAAGCTGTTTTCAGAGAAAGAATTTTTTTTTTTTAATTCTAGCTATCATGGAATCTCAAGAGCTTGCAAAAAGAACTTGTCAAGAAAAGCCAAATACTTTCCAGGAGGAAATGCTGGAATTAGTTGCTATGTTGCAACTAATCCAAACAACAATGGCTCAACACCACGATGAAATTAAAAACAACTTTGATGACATAAATGGACATATCTTTAAGTTAACCTCACAACATAAGAATTTTCAGAAAATGAGTGAGCTTGAATTTGGGCCTTCTCACTTCTAGATCAACACTCCTAACCAATCTTCTGCAAACTTCAATTTTCTCCCAGTATTCTACAGCTCTCAGAATTGTCAGCCAATAAATATTGACAAGGAATTCTGGAAAACATAATCCAATACAGCTGGAGAAAAGTTCTAATACTCTAGACTTAGATTAATAGAATCTGACACATATATTCTATAAAAGAAAAACACATTCTTATGTGTCACTTTTACCATTCATATATAGATTGACAAATGGAGTCTGTCTCTTTCACCTTCTCTGTTGTAGCATATATGTGCCCTGGAGAATGCTTTCCTACACATAAATATTCCTGTAAAATTTATGTTAGCACAAATAGGTTGAAATATATTTTAAATTAAGTAAATATATGCACAACCCAGGCAGCATTTGGGGTGGGGGGGAAAGACAGTGGCCATTAAAAAACCATATTCAAGGTTGCAACAGGCAATCTTACAACTAAAATGTGTTTGGAGATTCAGAAGTTAGTAATTCCTGTTTCCACTGGCAAGTTCTCCTGCCAGTGCAGGGCTAAATTTGTGCAACTCATATGACCCCTCCTCTTAATACACTATAATTCTGTGTAGCTCATAGCAGCCATAAAAACATGTAAGAACTCATTTTACACCAACCAACCAAGCACAAGAAAAGCGGTTCATCTTGTAACGTAAATCGAGTGAGGCAGGTTCTAATTCAGTCACCTAAAGATCGGGGATACCCCTGCACACTCTTTCCAAGTGATGCTATACAAACAGGGGTCTTCAAACTTGGTCCTTTTATGACTTGTGGACTTCAACTCCCAGAATTCCTCAGCCAGCGATGCTGGCTGAGGAATTCTGGGAGTTGAAGTCCACAAGTCACAAAAGGACCAAGTTTGAAGACCCCTGCTCTACAATATTCTCTTTCCCTCCCCATCTGAATTGTCAGGAAAAACGGCCACCCAGAAAAGGTGTACACCCGCTTTTTTACGACTCCCAAGTCTAAGGAGATGCAAATCGGCCCCCGCAAACGAGAGAAAGGAGCCCACCTCCCCGCAATTCCAGCCGTTTTCACGGACCACAAAGGAAGCGGCTGCATTTCCTGCCACGCCAGCCAGCGGAGGAAGGCGGACTCCACCCACTCCCTATCGTTGCCTTGACGACTGTAGCTACGTACTCCTCGCCCCCCTTATGCGCTCGACGAATGGGAAAGGAGGGGATGGGACCGAGGAGGACAGTGAAGGAGCGGCGAGGCCCCCCCTTGGCCTCTGCGCCCACCTGTAGCAGCACCAGGAACGCGGCGAGCTTCTTCTGCTGGGGGCCGAACTCCCCCACCAGCCCAAAAGCCTCATCCAGATCCATGGCTCCGTCGGGTCACCGCGCTGCATCCCCGTCACAGTCCCCGAAAGCGAACGGCGGGCTCTAGAGCGCTGAGCTCGCTTCTCCTCTCCTGTCTGCTGTTGCTTTCCGGAGGTGGCGGTTCGAAGGAACGCTCGCAGCGGCCTCTACTGGCTGCTGGTGGGCAAAACAACAGGCAGTCACCGTGGGGGCGGGGTTACTATTCGGAATATGGGGAGGGCTCCGGAGGGTTCTACTTCACGCTTGCGCAGAACGCGCGGTTGGAGGCGGGCGGTTGGCCGTTTGGGTGGTTACGTGGCCTCCTGAATGGAAGCTGGTTGCCATTTCGAATGAAAGTTCAGCTATAACTGATTATGACAATTGAGGAAGGCAAAACAAAGCAAAAAAAAAAAAGCAGTTGTGTTAGTGGAATGTGCAATATAGTCTAGATATCCTTTTAGTAAACCTAATTCACTGTACTTGGCAACTTTTAAGGCTTTAAATCCCCGAATTTCCCAGCCAGGGAAATTGATGAGCGGCAAGGTACAGCAGAGGTCTTCCAATTTTGCCTTTTTATGACTGGTGGACGTCAACTCCCAGAATTCCTCAGCCAGGCATGCTGGCTGAGGAATTCTGGGAGTTGAAGTCCACAAGTCACAAAAGGGCCAAGTTTAAAGACTCCTGATTACACTAACACAGACATGTCAAACACGGGGGCTGGATGCGGCCCGTGAAGTGGTTTCATGTGGCCCAGGAAGCCATCTTGGAAACAGTGAGGGAATGGCCCCCACTGCCTTGGCCCTTGCCCATGCCGGCCGGGAGCCACTGTACAATTTTGTGGTGGCCATTTATGCTGAAACACATTCAGTCTTAACTCCACAAAGCCGTCTGAAAACAGCAAGGGACCAGCCCCTGCCGTGTCGACCCCACTCCCTGGGTGCATGTTGGGGAGGTGTCACCCTTTGTGAGGAATGAAGAAATGGACCATGCCTTGGCACTTGCCCCAGTCCCACCCCCTTCTGCCAGAGACCCTCAGATCTGTCCCACTCTGCCCAGACCCCCACAGGCACTCTTGACGCGAACGATGTAGAGCTGGCCATGCCCATCCAATAGGTCACACCCACTCCATCCATACCCACCCAGTAGGCCACACCCACCCCCCCAAGGGCAACCACAATGCTGATGTGGCCCTCAATGATATTGAATTTGACAGCCCTGTAACGCAAGGGTCTTCAAACTTGGCCCCTTTGTCAAACTCATAGCTTGACAAAAAACAGTAGAGATTGTGGAATGGAATGCAAAGGTGGGAGGGATGGTATCGAGATAACCAAGGAGTCTTTGAGAGCCTGCAAGAACACCAAGGCCAGTAACACAGATGTTTGATGGAGAAGTGGACTTTTCCCATAACAACATATTACCATTGGACAGTGAGAGCAAGGGAATCTATTGTTTAATTAAGTAAGCTTTCACGTAGGAAAACCAGAGCTGATTTCATTTCTTCTATGCCAATGTAAAGCCAGAGCTATTTTCATTTCTTCTATGCCAATGTAAATTTTCAGTAAAGTATTATACTCTTGGTAAAATCACATCCCAGTTTATTTTTCTGGAAATACCAACTGGACAGTTGATAGATTATAGAGATTTGGCCAGTTGGACATATTTGCAAGTCAACACACAATAAATTATTTGCTATCAGACCATGAAGCTTGAATGTTATATTTAAAATGCACTTTTTAAAATAGAATTACCTTTGTAGCATTAAAGAGCAACTTTCTAGAAAGCAAAGACCCAAGCTGAGAATTTAAATGATTTTAGCTAATATAAACCAAGAGAAAATAAATAAAATTTAAGGAATTATTCATTCTCATCCTAAAGGGTTATGCTGGTAGTTGCTTGCTTTCAATCAATTTGCTCCCAAACTGTTAAGGCACGGATGTCAAACTTGCGACATCACGTGACGTGTCGCAACATCACGTGACTTTTTGCCCATTGCCAGCAATGGGGTGAGCGCAGTTTTGGCGTGACGCATCCGGTCCATGGGCCAGCAGTTTGTCACCCCTGTGTTAAGGGAACCAAACTTCTTAATTCCCACTGATGCTACCTTGAATTCATTGGAGTAAAGATGAGATACAGTACAGAATATCATTATGCGTAAGACGTGAATGAAGCTGATTTGGTAGAAATCAATAATCTGTTACTAACTACAAAATTCTATTATAAACAGTACAGGAAAAGGTTATTAAAGGCAAAACCAATACTAAACTTACAAAAGGAAATAGGACAAACCACTTAATGGCAAAAAGGGCTGAAAGAGAAAAAGGGTTGTGCTACCTTAAAAAGTTATTTACAAAAGCAAATGCTGCAATTGCAAAGCAATTTTATGTACACAATAATCTCATTACCACACTTGGGACAAGAATTTCTATTTTAAATCAGTGCAATTGCAAAGCCAATCAACATGTCACTGGCCCTAATTTTATGATCATTTTTATTGAAGTTTCTAAGTGAATCATGTGATCATTAAGCAAGTACAATTTCCCCAGTTCACATTTTTTTTTATCAAACAGTGGCTGGGAAGGTTGTAAACTGCAATTGTGACCGCAGGCTGCTGCAACTGGTCATAAATTCAAGCCGCTGGTATAATGGCCGCAAGTGTGAGGACAAGTTATCCATAATTTTTTGTGACACCATTGTAACTTTGAAAACTAATTAAATAAATGTTCCTAAATTAAGGGCTACCTGTAGTTTTCTTTAGAAGTTCTTTTGTCTTCAGTAAAAATTATTCCCAGGTAAGGATGTGGGATTCAAACTTCAACGTTTGAAGATTCCAATTTGTCATTATTCTTACTGTGATTAAATGCTATTAATTTATTTACTACTATTAGTTTGCATTACATAGAAATGAGGCAAGACAAACCCACTGGAAAATATTCATTTTATTAAGTAACATTTTTAAAATATAAGCTTTCATTCGCATCTTCAAAAATAGCAATTATGAAGATACAGCAGTATCAGTACAAAATTTTAGAAAAAGACATATCTTAGTACTACAAATACATAAACGAGTTTAATTATTACAGATAGAAAAGTTAGCTTTAGACTTTAAAATTATGAATCCAAATGTTGAAATTTCATTTCTTAAACATTACTAAATAAGCAGACCATTGTTCCCTTTGCATATATTTTTTGCATAATACTTGCTAATACATTGACCTAGTGAAGCCCTGTATCTTGGTTAAAGCAGGTAAAGTATGGTGTAAACCATTACATTATATATAAAATTTATCTTGCCATGAAACTAAAAATAGGTTGGATGGTGGTGACCATGGCATTTAGCTCAGTGAAATATACCTATTTTGACTATTGTACTACTTGTAGTTTCATGGGAACAGTTCTAAGTCTTTTGATGCCTCAATGTCTATGCTGTGGGAACTTGTAGAGTGAGAGATTTCTTTAAGAGGCACCCAAATTTAAAAGGTGTCTACTTTTATTCATTAATTTGGAGGGGGGGAACGCAAATGTGAGTCCTAAGTAAATTCCAGATGTTTGGGGTTGCAATGCTGAATATTGGCCATGCAAGCTAGAACTTCTCAGAACTAGAGACAGAAACATTAAGTACCTACTCTGGCAACACCAGATGTATGAGAGGTGGGCAATCTGCAGGTCACATGTGGCATTCTCTCTCTTCCATTTTCAGTATCCAAGGGAAAGGTGTTGAATGAATTTCTTACTTTACCTTGTCATTTAAGACTGAAATTTAAAGAAACTACTGCACTATTTAAAAACTCTTACTCCCACGGAAACAGGTTTAAAAAATGGATGGAGTTAAGTAGCAAATTTTCAGCCTTTCACACTTCACAAGGAAATGCAAAATGCTCTTAAAATATGATCCTAACAACCTGTCAATATCACCAGCCAAGCCTCTCTGCCTTCTAGAGAGTAAACACTCTTTTTTCCCTGAAGTTGTGCATCTTACACAGTAATATGGATAACAAGAACTTAAAAGTAGCCAATAAACCTACCTTTTTCTCTGCCAAATCAAATTTATTTGACAAGGCCTAGATATTTTTTTTTAAAAGACCAAAATGCCAACTTAATAATTGTTTAAATCTGGTCTGATCTGGTGGAAGAGGCAAGTTAGGATGACTATTTGTCTGACTTAGTACTGTGAGCTTTTCTATATATAATGTGACAAATGTCCTTAAAGAAATGTGAAATTAAGATGGATGTTCTCTTTATCTAATATAAAGTTTACCAATCAAAGGTCTAGACTAAGGGAAAACTTATGAAAGGTAAATGCTAGGACATACTGAGTTCATTATATACCTTTTAATCACATTTTATTCTTCCTGTACCCAACATAACACTAATAAATACAATGAAATGTAAAAGCAGACTCTCTTTCTGTGATAAAATCTATTTCTGATGCCCAAAATAATATAGAAACTGTAATTTACTTTTTTATATTGGATAGACCTCCAGATTTCCACACTGAATTTGTTAGCCTCTTCTCCAGAGAACACTATATATTTTGCCTGAATTTTTTGCAAGTTTCTTCTTAAGCCAAAAACTTAATCTTCCTTTGAGATCTACTTATCTTTGTTTAAAGCCTAGTTTCAAAAGTGAAAACAAAATCCATTTTTTCAAGTATTCTTTATAAAATGTTGCTAGGATTTATAGCTATGATAAACCTAAAACTATCAACCTCATTAATTGTTAAATACTATTTAAAAAGCACTTGACATGATTTTTACATCCAGATGCAATACTAAAGCATGTTATCCTAAAAGACTTTCTTGACCAGCAAAGTGCAAGTCATCTTTCAAGAAAACTAGCGAAGAGCAATGTTTTCCAAACTACCACTTCAAAATCAGACCCTTAATTACATGCATGGCTTTAAAAAGAATTCCAGATTTTGCTGTGAGAAAAGGACTAAGTAATCAGTCAATGTCATCTATACAAAGTAGGGCTTTAAGATCTGCCTACTACTAGTCAAACAACTGAAGTACTCTAGTTTTCTCCTATCCCTTACACATCTAAGCACAGCCCAAATGCGAACCCTTCGGGCTTTGTTGTAGATGAACACTGGTCACCCAAACAACACTTAAAAACACACACACAAACATGTAAGATTTCTGAAAACACTTAAGAAATTTTTAAAAAATGATTTTTTTTTCAAAAGTGCTAGTTAGATGTTAAGTTTTCATATTAAACTTGTACAATACATGATTAAAACATATTTGACTACAGAATGATTTTTTTTCCTATCCAACATATTTATAGACAATTGAATTCAATTTCGAAGAATACCTTTGAAATCCTTTAACCTGTTTCAGTACACTCATAAGTAGTAGTTGATAAAAAAGATATTAATTAGTAGAGCAATATTTTGCATAACAGAAGTTTCAAGCTTCAATTCTTGGCATCTACAAGGAACGCTGTAAGATTCACTGTACGAAAATCTGGACAACAGACCTCTACCGATGCAGAACCTATTTGGATGGATGGATGGATGGATGGATGGATGGAATATAAATGGCTGAATGTACAGAAACAGAAAACTATGATTTTCATTATCAGCTATGCTAAATGCACAGGCTAACTCAAACCACTGCAGTAAACAATACAAAAGCCGCATTGAAACAAACAAACCCAAGACAGTCTTCAAACAGAACAACAGTGTCTTCACATCACAGTGCATTGAGAGGAATTTCAAAATGAAATGGAAATGGCTGATTTTACGAGGTGGTGCAACGTTCTTCTATGACCTTAAATAACTCTTTGGATCCAAGCCATTCAGACGGTTACTTCCAAAATATGCCCTGTGTTCAATTTTTCACACTCTCGACTTGGACACCTTGCAGGAATTTAAAAATACAATGTTTTCAACAACAAGATGTCCAATATAGTACAGAAGTTCTACAGAAGTGCCATTTTTATTAAGTGTTGGACATCAGCTAACATTTAAAACACTCAGCTATTGAATTAAGAATCTGTCATGAAATTATTTAATCCATGAAGCACAGAAATATAAAGCGCTATTCATATTCACAAACGTTTCATTAAGTAAAAATTGGCTAAATATGTTCCTCTCTTAAAAGAAAAAATGTAATTTAATTTTTTGTATCTATGAAACCGAAGCACAATATGCATCCAGGTGGTCTTTCCTTTCTCTTGTGTGACTGAAAAGAAGCTCTGGGTTGAGAGTACAAATCCATACAAATGCCAACTGTTTCTCAGAGATTGGACCAAAAAAACAGAAAACTATTAGTACGTAGATGTTTGCTTTTAGGTGAACTGTGTAGATTAGAAGTACACTTGTGGCCTTCTCTTCACTTTGTATTTTAGTGAGCCACATCGCACCTGGAACAAATAAAAATAAAGAATGTTGTAAAAGGTTTCAAGATATCCAAAACACAATTTCTAATACAAAAAAAAAAATAAAATCTAATGTCGGTTAGAGGGGAGGAAATGGCATCTAGCGTGAGGATAGGAATAAAGAAAATTGCAACCTGTAAAAGAATGCAATCCATTTCACATCTGCCTGCAATTTACCAAAATGGCTATTACCATAGGCACAGATATTATAAGGAGATACAAGTAATATAATAACCCATGAGGCCTATGTGTTGTTCTGTTTTCTTTATTTTGCTCTCCAAGTTATAGTTAGTCTTCTACTTACAACAACAATTGAGCCTGGAAAAGTTATTAAGTAAAGAAGTGAGCAACATTATTAATGAAAGACGTTCCTCAAGATGACATGGGCACCAATAATTTTATATAAGTACAAGATTTTATGCACTTAAGTGTACATTCAAATATAACCACAAACACTTATTTACTTTTACAAGAAGAAATGGAGTGCAATCTCAGTTCTCTCTCTTACCTCCAACAAGGTTTTTTTTCCCTAAACCAAACCAGATTTGCTACTGAACCTGAATAGACCAGGATCAAATTCTGGTTTGCAGTTCTCTTGCATCGAGATTCAGAAAAGTTAAGCTTCCTCTTTAAAATTGTTTTCAACGAAAAATACTTAATGATTTCCACCTTTTTATTTATAGCAGTGTTTCTCAACCTTGACAATTTTAAGGCATGTGGACTTCAACTCCCAGAATTCCACAGCCAGCAACTCCCAGTTGAAGTCCACATGCCTTAAAATTGTCAAGGTTGAGAAACACTGATTTATAGCATTTCATACTGTCAAAACAGATTTACTTGCCTCTTTGCGTCCTTTTATTGTTTTTACAGATTTCATACTTTGTGTTCGACGGAGACCTCTCTGAGCAAACATCTCATCTTCTGAATATGTCCCTTCCCTCTCTTCATCTGTTTTATCATCTTCAGAATCCTTTTTTAATGGGATACCATAACCTGAGGGGTAAAATCAAAATTCAAAGAACTGTTACATCAGTGATTGATCATTTCCTACTTTAAAAAAGAATGTTCAAATGCTTAAAGCAGGGGTCTTCAAACTTGGCCCTTTTATGACTTGTGGACTTCAACTCCCAGAATTCCTCCGCCAGCATGCCTGGCTGAGGAATCCTGGGAGTTGAAGTCCACAAGTCATAAAAGGGCCAAGGTTGCCTACCCCTGGCTTAAAGCTTAAAAATGTTTAAGAAAATGAGGTAATTTCTCCCTTCAAAATGATAGGTATACAAAATTTGTAACTAATCTATATGCCTGAAAGTAAATGCAGCACTAAAAAGACCCAGAAAACACTTCTGTTTTCATCCCTATCTGTGATCGTAAATGGTCTGGCCAAAATAAAAATAAAGGAAAACTGGCTCCTGTAAATTAAGTAGATGAGAAGAATCCATGAAGGAATGGAGATAGGAACCTCTGTGTGTGTCTTTGTATGTATCTTTGTATAGGATTACACTACTCGTTTAGAAAAACTCTTTGAAGTGATAGTATCAATTCCATGCCTATACCCCAAGCTGATGATTTTGGAGGCAGACAGTAAAAAGCAGGGCCTACAAGAGCCTTTTGAGAGAATTTTCTTTGAAACTCTGGCAGCAAATCCCACAGAGTCAACATTCCAAGTTTCAAGAGAGGGAATGTGTCTATGGAGATTCTCAGTCATCCAGGTAATGGTTGTCCCAAAGGTGCTTTTTTCATGAGGTAATTGGACTTTGTTTTTCTTTGAAGACATTTTGCTTCTCGTCCAAGAAGCTTCTTCAGCTTTGACTGGATGGTGGAGAATTGGCAGGATTTATAATCCTTGCAGACAGCTGGTCTTTTGCATTCTTTTAGCGAGTAGTGGAAGCTCCTGGAGCAGTGTTTCTCAACCTTAACAATTTTAAGGCATGTGGACTTTAACTCCCAGAATTCCACAGCCAGCATTTCTGGCTGTGGAATTCTGGGAGTTGAAGTCTACATGTCTTAAAATTGTCAAGGTTGAGAAACACTGTCCTGGAGGCTTATCTGTGTCATCAGGGTCACCTGAGTAATGCAAATGGGCATGGAGCCTTCTTGGAACTGTTGACAAGACTCTGTTGTAGACTGAAGATAGAGGATGTCCTATCCCTCCTCTCTGTTGAGAGAGGGCTATTCAATTTTGACATAAATGGCCTCTTTGATTCCTCTTTCAAACTGCCCTCTCTGTCCAAAATGTGGATTTTGCTGTCTTCAAAAGAATGGCTTTTGTCTTTTAAATGCAGATGAATTGAACAGCCCCTCTCTCAACAGAGAGGGAGGGATACAGCACCATCTATCTCCAGTCTACAGAGTCCTTTCAGCAGTTCCAAGAAGGTTTCACATCCATTTGCACTACTCAGGTGACCCCGATGACACGACTCACTAAAAGAATGCAAAAGACCAGCTGTCTGCAAGGAGTATAAATCCTGCCTTTTCCTCACCATCCAGTCAGAGCTGCAGAAGCTTCTTGGAGGAGAAACAAAACGTCTTCAAAGAAAAACAAGAAAAGTCCAGTTGCCTCGTGAGAAAAAAAGCACCTTTGGGACAAGAGAGAAAACAGTGCCCATGGTGAGCAGGGGCCTTCAAACTTGGCCCTTGTATGACTTGTGGACTTCAACTCCCAGAATTCCTCAGCCAGGCACGCCTAGCTGAGGAATTCTGGGAGTCGAAGTCCACAAGTCATACAAGGGCCAAGTTTGAAGGCCCTGGATTAGAGGGTAATCCACCGTTGCTTATACAAAATGTGACCTAGAAAATCAGAGCTAGCCCAACTTAGTAATATACCAACCTAAGGGTTCGTTGGGAACCGAGCCCTTGCTTTTCTTTTTGGTAGCCGGCAAAGTCTGGTAGTGCCTTTGTCCTATTGGCTCATCGTCTGGGACTGCTGTGAGGTCATGCATACTGAAACTCCGCAATTTCTCTGTTATTGCTCCTTGACCCTGTAGCATGGAGGAGGAACAATGAAATGGCTGCTCAATGGGAGGAAGGAGGAATCCTCTTGGGTCAAAACTGATATACAGTCATGTGAAAAAGAGTGCGCCCCGTTGAATTCTTTTGTCCCTTGACTTTTTCAACCCATTTTAACATGCAGCTATTTGATCTTCATTTTAACAGTATGGATAAAGGATATATAACGTAACAATGGCCACAGGCCAGTTGCAGCTGAGAACTTTAAGGGGCCAAAATACATGCCCAAAATTGGATCCGCTGATCCACTGCTGTTACCTGTGTGTACTCGATAATACTTTTAAAAATACCCATATACAGGTAGTCCTCAACTTAGGACTGCTGCCCTGCCAGCGAGAGTGATCCTTTGCACTGCTCTTTGCCATATCACTTCCGTCTGGAACAATCCTTACTACGAATGGCCGATGAGGAAGGATTGCTGCTGCAGGACAAACCACAACATGATGGATTGTTTAGACCAGCAGAGGCACACGGAATATGGCATGCCATGGTGCAAAGCATTGCCTTGGCCAGCCCAGATTTTTTTTCCAGCATGTCTAAGAATGATGGGTCTTTGAATCCTAGGCAACCAGGTATCTGCTTTAGGAATGAGACACTGTGTGTAGTTCGCTGGGGAGAAAGACAACTTTATTCCTTCCTTAGCCACGAAACTCGCTGGGCAAGCATGAGCCAACCACTCTGTTACTGTAATCTAATTCTCCATCCAATATTTGTAAGAATAAATGGTGGGGAAGGCTGTAGAAACCAGGTAACCTGAGTTTTGCAGAAATAGGGGGTTTCACTTTAAAATAAAGGAGTAAGAGAAGTACTCAAGTACTTAAATAGCTCAGATAAGTAGAAATAGTTTCATTGTATATAATATTATGTTTTATTTTGGAGAGAGGAATTGCTCGGGCATTTCCCCTGGACTGCATCCAGAGTGAGAAGATAGGAGGAAGGGGAGAAGTAAGTAGGAAGGTTGAGGAGAAGGAGGAGAGGGGGAGAGTGAGGAAGAAGAGGGAAAGAGGGAAGTGAGAGAAGAGGTTAGAGGGTGGATGCAGTTTGGGGGGAAATGGGTGAGCAATACCGAAAGTTGTGTGTATAAATTTATTTTACTCTTTATCTGAAGTATTTTTTATGATGTAATGTAAAATTGAAAATAAAAAATTTTTTACAAAAAAAAAAGAGAAGTACCCAATTGTTGCAAGGGCGTGCCTCTCCTTTTTTTAAAGGAGCAGCAAAATGCACTGCAAAAGAAAAAGCAGCCAATAGTAGCTATCCATCAGGCCTTGAATGAGCAACAGCAACCCACCCCCAATGCCCCAGACATCTATCATTACCTTGGAAAGCAAACAAGCTACACCCTCTCTGAGGCAGAGCATCTTTACTATTACAGTGTGGTACTGATAGTTCAATGTCCTGTATGGAGTGAAGCATTGCCTAAGTCAGTGGTGGCGAACCTATGGCACATGTACCAGAAACGGCACTCAGAGCCCTCTCTGTGGGCACGTGCGCCATCACCCCAGCCCCGCCTCCCCCCACGGCCCTCTTACCAGCAGCCCCCCTGGAGGAGAGTCGGCCCCAGTTGTGGTTCGTGCAGAGCAGCGAGCCAAGGACATAGCAGCTGGTACAAGACTCCGCCTCCGCAGCCTCATCTGCTGCGTGGCCGCCATGGTGCTGCAGGGCCGCCTGGACGATCTGCCGTGGTAGGTGGCCCTGCGGGGGGCATGGGTGGGACAGGAGGCAGGGTGGAATAAGCGGGGCAAGGGGCAGAACAGAGTGGGCAGGGCAGGGGGCCGAGTGAGTTTTGAGTACTCGGTGTCTAAAAGGTTCGCCATCACTGGCCTAAGTAGAGAACCCTTGCTGACTGTGTTTTCTTTTGTGAGTAGTAGCAGCAGAGTTTCCTACACTTCAGGCATGCTCTAGGAAGCATTGGCAGACAAGTGACTGTTGCAGAGACAAGGGAATGTGGGCTGGCAAGCACCGAAGGGACAGCAGCAGGTCATAAATGAAAGCAGGGCCAAATTTTTATTATATGACCCAGAGTTGTAAGTTTAAGAAATGTCTCAAAGTCCATTTTTTTCAGTACTGTCATAATTTTGAAAGGTCACTGAGCAAATGGACATTAAACAAGGACTACCTGTATCTTGTATGTGTGTGTGTGTGTGTGTGTGTGTGTGTGTGTGTGTGTGTGTGTGTATATATATATATATTCATATTCCCATATAAGCCCATCTGCAGATAAAATGTGAGGCAGCTTATCTGCAGGTGGCACATTTTTTATGGCATTTTGATTAAAAATGTGAGAATGAGCTTATATGTGAAAATATAGGGTACTTTTTCATATGACTATATTGGACTTTAATAAAAGTCTTGGTTTCTGATAGGATATTAATCTGTTTGCCATAGTAATTCAAAATACACTGCACCAAAGGATAAAAGTTACTTATATTAGCATACAATTGACAAAACTTTTTAAATGTTAGATTAAGAACTATGTTTAGCATGACTGATTCCTTAATTCAAACTGCACTGGGAAATTTATGATCTGTATCTAATATAACAAAAATGTCAGGAGATATGGATGGCATAAAATTTTACAAATCGGTGGCATAAACATTAAATAAGCATAAATGAATATAAATAAATAAACAAGCAAATTGAGGAGTTTCCTCCCAAATATGAGAGAATGACTTCATATATTTTCTGGACAGGAAAATTCTATTGCAAAGTAAAAAAAAAATGTGACTAACATAAATCTGTGATAAAAAATATAGCAGTATGTCCCTATGTTAGATACATACAATAAACCTCTTGATGCCACAATGATTTTTATTCCAATCCTTACATATTATATAGTTTAAATGGTACAAGAATACTATGCATAGAATAAAAAAAATGCAAAGAAAAAAATAGCATAATTCTTGTACTTCTGATTTTAAATTGATACTGTAATAATTTAGGAAAATCACTTAAATTTGATTTTTTAAAATCACAATTAAGCAAAACGGATGAGTTTAATGTGAATCCAGAGTCCACAGTTTATGACTCTGGATTCACATATATTTATCCATTTTGCTTAACCATGATTTAAAAAAAAAAAAAAGTTTAAGCCTAAACAAATACACTACAATAAGTTCTAATTTTGAAATGTAACAGCTGAATTTCCTACAACATAGTGAGTCCAAAATGACCCCTATGTTTTTTTTGTTTCAGCCAAGTTATGTAACTGAATATGCCTGGGTCACTGCACTTTTTTTAAAACAAAAGAAAAAAGACTCCTAAGCCTAGCATAAGTGAACATGCTAGCAGCTACAGTTAACAGAAATGTTGTAAAAGACTGCCTTGGAGGCAGGGAGCTGCAATAATACAGGATCCTAATAAAATCATGCCAACAAGCCACAAAATAGTATTAATATGGGAGCACCCTCAAGCAGCTCTACAAAGAACGTAATTGCAGGTGGGGAAGTTTGTGTAAGCTTTGCTGTATTAAGGGAGAGCCTTCTCAGCAACGGAACAAAATTGACTTGTTTAGATTCACAACACTTTTAAGTAAGAAAGCTTCTGGGAGAATCCCAAGAAGGTGCCCGCTATTGTTGGGTCTGGCTTGGGCAGCTTACAGAGCGTCTGTGACATCTCACTTGTCTCTTCGTAAGCAATTTAAAATTCAACTTGTTTGCAAATGTCAATTCCCCCCATCAATATTAAGCTAGGCTTTTTTGCAGGTTACAATTTATCTGATATTCTATATAAGCGTTTCTATGTTTATCGCTGTAAACATCTGGTGGGTGATAATTCAGAACTGAATTTGTCTCGTTCCTATCCTATACAGCCCTTGTCCCTCTTTCCTTTGTAAAGGTTAGATTTTTTCCCCCTTCAATACACTCTAAAATTAATTAAATTCAATTAGTATATCCATAATTTAGTGTGTAAATTGAGCCTTATTCAAATTATGCCTCTTTCAGTGTCTATTCTGTAAAGTTCGAGCACCATATTAAAAGCCTGCCTTCATTAATTTATACACTAATACTATCGGCCATCTTCTCAATTCTTCCTGAAAGAAATTTGGTTTAACATATAATCCCAGATGTGAAGGGCTGGTGTTATTTTTCTCTCTCTAATTGTTCAAGTAACAGTGCTAATTAGAGGTATATGGTCATTTAAATACAGCTCTAATCCACAGCACAAATGCTGACTCTCATACCTTTTGTTCTTGAGAAAAAAAAAAGCTACATATTAGCAATTGCAATTATTAGGTAAACACACACAAATTTAAAGTGTTTTGTAAGAAGGCAAGATGATAAGTTGTTTTGACAGCTCCAATCTCTGTAGGTCACATTGTTTGAAGCAAAGGAAATGAAATGCTTCCACAGCAGGCAAAGCACCATTGGAAACCATAAACAAACCATATCATTTGGAAGAAGGAACCTGTCTTAATTTCAGGAAGTTAAGATTCAAGACATTCAGGAAAGGACTGTGGTGATCACAGGTTAGCAAGGCTAGAATACTTGCCTTAGAAAACTCTAGTTTTATCTATAATCTCAGGAATGCCAGAGTCATGTCATTTTTATCAGCTCTAATCTGTAAGGCATTAAGGAATTCAGACAGCAGCATGAATAGCAGCAGATGAATAACAGAAGACTTCTGCCATTACTTACTTAATGCTCCAATGTTCTGCAAAAGAGCAATGGGAATAAGTCATGCACTACTCGGGTTTATCCTCGCTTTTAGAAAGGTCCCTTGGAGGTGGACAATTAGGTGCTTTGTGACCTATATCACACACTACACTAAGCCTTGATTTGCTTACTCATAGAATCTGAGCATATCACAATTGGCAAAATTAAATTTACACAAACATACTAACCTACAAGCAAGAAAGCCACAAGATTTGAATTAATGGTATATCTGAATCTCGCCTAAGTCCTCTGAGTCTTTTAACTGCTGCTCAATTTAAGGATGTAATTGAAACAAACTACAGGTTCGTAACGCCCAAGTTACGAGCGTTCACTTAACACTCGTTCGAAGTTACGTGATGAGCGCCCCCTAGTGTTTACGAGCAAGTCCCAACATTACGAATATTGCAGCACAAAACGGCAGTCGTGTTGTGGCACTGCAACCCTAACCCCCACACTCCTCACAACTGTTTTCCCCTCCCTTCCTGCCACACCAGATTCACTTACCTTGCAAAAATCCTCTCTGCTGTGGTTTCTTTCCTTTTGAGGGAAAGGAGAGTCGGCTTGGAAATGTTTTTCACACCCAGAATGGAAGTTTCTGGAGTTCGTGATCTCACACGAGTGTTTGAAGTTGCGCCAAATCACGGACCTCAGAAACTTTCTCTATGCAAAAGGTGCCTGTCTCCTGCTCCTGCCCCCAACTCCTTTCTGCCTGAGGGCAGCCCTGAAGCCTTCAACTGAGGGAGAAAGCCAGGCCCCTCGTACTCGCGTCCAGCCTGCCGGAGCTCGCCCCACTGGAGACAAAATGATCTCGTTGTCCCCAGAACCTCGGAGGCTTCCAAGCGGCCTGGAACAGAGGCCGGGGGATGCTTCTGCACATCTTCGGAGGTTGAATCCAGCCCTCGGAGGGGCCCTCCCAGCCGTTTGTGCCCAGAAAGGAGCTTCCAGAGGTTGGATCCAGCCCGCGGAGGGATCTTCCAAGCTGTTTGTACCAGGAACAGAGATGAGAAGGGGGTATTTGCATGCCTCCAGAAGTTGGATCCAGCTCTCGGAGCACTGCTCCAAGCTGCTGCTGCCCGGAACAGAGTTTCCGAGAGCTGGATCCAAACCTCGGAGGGGTCTTTCAAGCTGTTTGCGCCAGGAATGGAGGTCGGGGGGTTCTGCATGCGTCCAGAGATTGGATCCATCCCTCAGAAGATTGCTCCAATCTCCTGCCGCTCAGAATGGGAGTGGTGGCCGCGTGGCTCCAGAGTTGGGGGCAAGCAAGAGGCAGGTACCGCAAACAGTGCGAGAATTCAGGCACCCATTCTCTGTGGAAGAGGATCAGTGCCTGAACTCGCGCAATATTACGGCACCCATGAGTTCTCCTATCCCTCAAAAGCAGGAACCGTAGCAGAGAGGAGATGGATCTTTTCAAAGTGAGTGAGCCCAGCATGGCAAGAAGGGAGGGGGAAGCATGAACTATCTTAGTGGATCTGGAAGGCCTTGGGGACCTGTTCCATCACTAGGCCCCCCCATGGCCTTCCCCACCCTGAAATACCTCATGTGCCGCGTGCATTTTAACAAGCAAGGGAATGATTTCATTCGAGGTAGGAGATTCACTCTACGAATTTTCGAGTTATGAGTGGAATGTGCAGGCTCCATTACACTCGTAACTCGAGGACTACCTGTATTCAATTGTTTGCCTCTTTCCGAAGATATTTCTTTCCAGATGGAGATAATTCCATCTACCATTGAAAGAAGCTAAACTACTGCAAAGCTGTTTGTGATCTGATCAGCATTAGAATCTGGCTTCTTCTATCAATAGCCCTGTTTAAAGCCATAGACAATTCTGGTTCATGGTTCTTTTTCAAGCGATGGTAACTTGCTTGGCAGCTTGTTACTAGTCTCCACTAGCAGAAATTGCTATCAGACAATTTGTGTAAATGTGTATCTTCATAATAAACAGAACTCTGAAGAACTGAAAATATTGTTAGTATGTTATGGGAAAAGCATGGTTTCATGGAGCAAATGTGCCCTTTAGCATTTAAAGTAATTTAATCTGAAGGAAAGCAGACATCTAAACTGCAATTTCAGGAAACCTGGAAGTTTAATTATGCAACTTACATGACTAGGTCCAAATTTCCCACTATCTTCCCCACCTTAATGTGCAAATTCTGCAGATTATTTATCAGAAGCGACTTCCTAAGAATAAGCAGCTGCAGCTCAATAAATTGTGCTATCTTGGGGACTTGAGTGCCCAGAGAATATTCCACCAGTATTCTCAATAATCTTACTTACATTTTTACAAATGTTGCATTTTACACTGACTACAGCGACTGCTGCTACTTTATAGGAACTGCTTGGCAACTTCTGCTGACTCCTACATCACTTAGCCCACTCCCCAGTTTTGTTCTATGTGCATCAATAATGAAGGATGGTCCTAGGTTAAAATAGGTCAGTGTTTTCCAAACTTGACAATTTTAAGGCATGTGGACTTCAACTCCCAGAATTCCACAGCCAGCGTTGCTGGCTGTGGAATTCTGGGAGTTGAAGTCCTCATGCCTTAAAATGGTCAAGTTTGGAAAACACTGAAATAGGTAATTATCTCTGGACTTTTGCTGATAAGAAATGAATGACAAAGATTTTGGATTTGGTTTTTAGCTAGGAAATGAGACATGGGGTAAACAGAGAATATGTTATATTTTAAGAGAGGATGATAAGTTACTAAAATTCTTTATAGTTATGCTGAAGTTACTTTCTTTTTCACACATTTTATTTATTATTTTTATATTGTATTAGTATATTAGTTTGTATTTCTATTTATAAGCTTTGATAAAATTATTTGAAAAAAATGATAAAAGATAGCCCTGATATATAATGCATATACTTTGCTATCAGGTACAAATTCAAATTGTAGAACAAATTGTATTTCCCATTCAAAATTATTATAAAAGTATATGCTCATGCAGCTTCCTTTTCTATAATATTTTGACACTGTGACTCATTATACTCAATAACTATTGTGAATATAAAAATGGAGGCAACTCATATTTTAGGCAAATTACAGATAATTAGAAACATGTTTGAATGCATGTGAAAAGCTCAATTTGGCTGTCTAGCATCAGACAGCTGTAAGCTGCAGCAGTTAAATTCAAGTTTATCATTTTAATTTTTTCTTACGAATTTGAATTCAGAAGAGAACCATATTAATATCCCAGTCAACCACACTGGTCACTGTTTTCATGCTTTAATCTTCCATGAGCATTTACCTCAACTTGATCGAAGAACAGCAGAAAGAAGTCAGAAATCCTGTGGAATGTGATTTACCACCAGGAAAAAGCAACAAAAGAGAGAAAAATAGTCATCTTCACTGTTTAAAAAGCAAGTCACGTTTGAGAGAACATACTTTTTAGAATATGCTATTAGAAAAAGGTTATCCAGCTTTTCACCTTAAGTCTTTTTGAACACACATCCCCACTCACCCAGTTTATGCTAAGTAGTAAATACATAACATGCAGTACTGTTTACCTTTACAGCTGCAGTCACTGCAGCAGTAGCAGCTAAGTTTAAGCCTTGTTTACCAAAGTTCACCATTGTTTCATAACCACGTTCTTTGGCTTGCACAATGTAATCGTCAATCTCCTAGAAGGAAAAAATATGTGTAGTACGGATCTTAATTTAATCTGACATTGGCAATCCATAACAACATATCTTGGCACGAAGCACAAGACGGCAATGTCATTCTTCATCCCCACTACCGCTCAATGCAAATTTATTTTCTAAAATATCAAAATAAACATTTGCTCCACAACAGGAGGGAAGCTTACCCTTTCTTTTGAAGAAAGAAGAGGATGAAGAAACTTCCTATATATTAAACTTGCCCCTCTTGTATATGGAGACAGCAACCAAATAACAAAAGCAATCTTCAGTTCATAATACAATGGAAACCTGTAAAATGTAAGTTAGAATTCATAATGGGGTTATGTGATACAAAAGAAATAGGTACCTTCCTTCTAATTAGCCTAAGTGTCAGGGAAAGTATTTTTAGGAATTTTTTCACATATTTCAGATATGCTTTATATACATACAAATCGTATTCTTGTAATTCCACCTTCCCTAGAATCTAGCTCAGTGGTTCTCAACCTTTTTAATGCCGCGACCCCCATTTTTAGTAGTTGCTCAGCAGGGAGGGGTGGAAGCTTCCAGACAGCTCGCCTTCGCTGCAGACAACTTGCAGCACCGTTTGCAGAATGGGACTGTTGGCGGGCTCAGTAGGGCAGAGACAGCCTGGACAATTCCTATTGGCTTTTGAAAGCCAATGGAATTAGACTCTATTCAAGAGAGTCTATTCTATTGGCTTTCAAAAGCCAAAAGAATAAAAGGGAGTAGCACAGCTAAGGAAAAGCGGGGAAAAATGGCGGACTGCATTGTTTGGCAACCCCCATGAAATGGTCGTTCGATCCCAAATGGGGTCCCGACCCACAGGTTGAGAACCACTGATCTAGCTAAAGAGCTTTTAACAGTATCAATGACCAACAATGAACACGGTGATACATGAAAACATAAATAAATCGTCATGCTTGGCAAATGTACAGATCTTACCAAGAGATCAAGAGGTCAGTTAATGTTTCAGTAAACGTATAAAGAGCAAACACAATCCAATACATCATCCACCGCACCTGAGAACGAAGAATGCAAAACAACCATTTTAGTTTCCATCCACACAGGTTAGAAAAAGGAATAATTATATTTTAACAAAATTAAAATATGTAGGTGCTATTTGTTTCTATGCATTTTATAAGAACACAAACCGTTAAGTAGCATACACTATACAAAAAAAGATCTTTCAACTTTCTATCTCATCCTTCTATCAAAATAATTCAAATCAACCACCCGTAGAAGGACATCTAAAGATTGCTCAGCTCTCCTCGGCCTTCTGTTCTCCAGGTTAGGTGTACCTGATCCCTTTAATAATTCCCACGGGACTTGGTTTGCTGTTCCCTCATCGTTATCATCGCTCTTCTCTGAATTCACTCCAATTTGTCACTATTCTTTGTAAACTGCACCTCCAGAACTGAACACAACATTCCAAGAGTGGGTGGACAAGATGGGGTAGGTGGGGGGGTGCTGAAGAGTAGAGGGCAATTACTTTTGGTTACTGGGACTTTAGGCTCCTGTTAAGAAACCCCCAAATCAGATCTGTGTTTTTTAGCATTTGCATCACACTGCTGGCTCATATTCAATTTGTGGCCTACTTTTGTTGTTGGTTGCGAAGTCGTGTCTACCCATCGCGACCCCCATGGACCACGTTCCTCCAGGCCTTCCTGTCCTCTACTGTACTCTTCTGGAGTCCATTTAAGCTCACGCCTGCTGCTTCAGTGACTCCATCCAGCCACCTCATTCTCTGTAGTCTCCTTCTTCTATTGCCCTCAATCTTTCCCAGCATTAGGCTCTTCTCCAGTGAGTCTTTCCTTCTCATTAGGTGGCCAAAGTACTTGACTTTCAACTTCAGGATCTGGCCTTCTAAAGAGCAATCAGGGTTGATCTCCTCTAGGACTGACCGGTTGGATCGCCTTGCAGTCCAGGGGACTCGCAGGAGTCTTCTCCAGTACCATAATTCAAAGGCCTCAATTCTTTTGCGCTCAGCCTTTCTTATGGTCCAACTTTCACAGCCATACATTGCAACTGGGAAAACCATGGCCTTGACTATAGTGGCCTATTACAACATGTATTTAATTTCACATGTATTGCTACCAAACTAAGTGTCCCTCATCTTCTACTTCTTTTTATTATTTTTCTCCCCGCATTTGTCTCTGTTAAATTCCAAATCAAATCAGTTTATTACAACCATAAGACTAGTTACCGTAAAATATCTAATAGTGGAACTGTTGTATACATCTACCATGTTTGCCCGAAAATAAGATCCCCTCTTATATTTTTGTGCCTCCAAAAGAGGCACCAGGTCTTATTTGGGGGGGATGTCTTATCCCTTACCTTAGGACCACCGCAGCCAGGCCTCCCACATCTCAACACGTATCATTCCGCTGCCTGAGTTTTTCTGTGGCCGCTTGAGGCCGCTCGTGGCTTGGCACCACATGATGCATCATGCCAGTGTCGCTGCAATGTGCCACATAGCATCTGGCCACAAGTGGCCGCAAGCAGTCGCAGACAAACTCACACAGCAGCACGATAGTTGTTGGGGCATGGGAGGCCTGGTTGGAGCGGTCATAAGTGGGTGCATGGCGTATGGGGCAACCCCACTCCCCCACCCCACCTGATTTTTTTGCCCCCAAACCAGGGCTTATTTTGGGGGTAGGGCTTATATTAAGCAAATGCATAAAAATCAAGATCTATTTGAAATTCAGGTTCTGCTGATGTGTGTGGGGTCTTAGTGACTTCCTGCTGTTTCTCCATTATTACCAACCTTTCAGAAAGGATGACCTTTGCATAACAAAGGGTAAAAATGAATACATTCGGGAATCTGAACTCCATAGCATCCCCGTTAGGAGAATGGTCCTCCATCAATACAAGGATACAGTGCCTAATCTACAGCCCAAATATTGGAGATGCGGTAGTTTAGATACAACTTATTTTCATATCTGGTGGACTTGTAGAAATATAAAAGCCTTTTGGATTAAGATTTGGTGGAACATTCAAAAGATTTTTTAAGAGAAAGATAAAGTTTACGCCACAATTATTCCTGTTAGGCGTTATTGAAGATTGTGATGTTAAAGAAATTAACTTGATGTTGAATCTTATAACAGCTGCAAGATTATTGGTCGGGCAATATTGGAAGAAAGATTCTTTGCCCATTATGGAAGAATGGATTCTTAAGGTGTCTAATTTAGCAGAAATGGCGAAAATTTCTGCTTATTTGAAGGACTATTCACAAGAAAGATATATTTCGGTTTGGAGAAGATGGATAGACTATATTCAAAATAAATATGGGAATAAAAAGTTTCATTTACTTTTTGAATAATGAGTATTATTATTATTACTATTATTATTATCAATCGTTTATTATAGTGGAATTTTTATTATATTATATTGTTTAAGAATTAGGGTATTAATTTGTTTATGTATTATGCTTATTTAGAATTTGTTTATTTTATGTTAAAAGGGAGTTAAAGTGTATTATGGATTTGGTTTTTATATAGTTGGTTAATGTTATTTAGATTATGACTGTCATATTTGTAACCCTGTATTCAGCTCTGGGAAGTATGGGAGGGGGGTGGGGGGTTTGGGGTTGTTTTGTTGTAAACTTTTGTAAAACTTTTCAATAAAAAAAATACAAGGATACAGTGGGGAAGAATTAAGTATTCAACCATAACTGATTATTATCCTCTATAGCCACTGTTTAGGCATTCCTGCTTGAAGTCCCTGAGAGTGGCATTGGCTATGTCTTCAAGTAGCAAGAATAGCTTTCAAAAAATTCATCTGCACCACTTCCATTGTCTTCCTTGTGGCCCAGATTCTCACATGTAGTCCAGAGAAGTTCAGCGCTGTTTGGGCTTCAAAAAGCAAAAGGAACTAATTGCATCCTTGGTGAAAATGAAGTGCCTAATGATAGGAGACGATTCTAAAACTGCCTGAGAGTAATAATTATGATATGCTTTCTATGATCCTTTGGTGTCAAAAATTACTCTGAGATAGTTAAGGCTGTGAATCTGCCCAATCTTATTTAGCTTTGTCATCCGTGTTTTCTCCTTGGTCTTTTCACAAAAAAACATGATTTGGGATTTTTATAGGTGAGTCTGAACCTGTTTTGTTCACTTATACCAGATGATTGATCTCTTCTGAGTCTAAGCTGAGTTTGGGATACAATGGCAGCAGCATTTGCACATAAACAGCAGCATTTGCACATAACAGCGAGACACTGGTGAAGCGGGCACAGCAGCACCTGCATTTTCTGCGTCGCATAAGAAAAGCACATCTTCCTTCCCCTGTCCTGACCACTTTCTACAGGGGGACAATCGAGAGCATCCTGTCATACAGCATCACAGTCTGGTTTGGAAGCATCACTGCTTCAGATAGGAAGGTGGTGCAGAGAGTGGTGAGGATGGCCGAAAAGATCATTGGCTGTTCCCTCCCTCCCATCCAGGACATAGCACAGAAGCGTTGCTTGAGCAGGGTCCGCAAGATTGTCTGGGACACTACACATCCTCTTTACGACCTGTTTTCCTTGTTACCTTCTGGGAGGAGGCTTCGTGGTATCTGTAGCAGAACATCCAGATTCAGCCATAGTTTCATTCCATACAGCATTAACCTTGCGAACTCTCAAGCTTCCTCCTTCCATTATATATTCAAGATGGACAGTGCTTAATATTTATTTGCTATGTATATGTAGGGGTGTGGGTCTGTACATATGTTGTATATAGTATATTAGGTGTGTGTCATGTATGTGTTCACTTTGAGAGCGGGCAACTAAATTTTATTTAGTTGTGTCCACAGTAAAAGAAAAGACAATAAAGGTTATCTTATCTTATCTTATCTTATCTTAACAGAAGAGTTTCCTGAATATATCTTCTGCTCAGGGTAGGCAGGAAGAGATTCACCCCATTCTTGTCATCTTCAATAATAAGAACTTTTGTTCTTATGGAAAAGTTACAGGGAAAAAAAAAGAAAGAAGGTGTCTTAAGTAGGAAGGCAATTACGAAGCCATGATTCTGCTCCACCCTCAGATTTAAGCTGGAATTTGCCTGGAGACATGTTTCAGAGGCTGTATATTGACACAAGGTAATATCTCTTCAAAGGCTTTTTTCTCTCTCTCTCTTGAGCAGCGTTTCTCAACCTTGGCAGTTTTAAGAAGGGTGAATTTTCATGGTTGAGAAACACTGCTCTAGAGAAACAGGATAGACAATAACTCATGTAGAGTGTGAACTCTGATTTATCTATTTTGCATTGTGTTTTACGCTTGGTTTTCTACTTTTCCCTATGGAAGCATCCTTTAAGATATTTTCATGATTCTTGTAGAAACTTACCTTTAGTTCCAACATTGGAGGTTTTACATGTGACTATTTAAGGTAAGAAAAGAGTGCTTTTAAAAAATGCCCTTCGTGGCTTGTGAGATCAATCCAAAGGAGAGAATTCCCTAGTGTACACTTCACTGTACAGCCCTAACAAGTGTAATTGTAGAGTTTTATTTCATTTTATGCCATTTTTTTCCCTCTTATTTTTCCAATACTGAAAGGCCACGGATTGTGGAGATTCGTGTGGTAGAGTTAATAGAAAGAATGTCAAGTAATGACATTTCCTAGAACAGAGGTCCTCAACCTTTTGGGCACCAGGGACTGGGTCTGTAGAGAGAGGTTTTTCCATGGACCAGAGGGGGCGTGGTTTTGTGTGCTGCCTGCATCCCGTGGATGGGGCTTTCCTTGTTTGTGCGGCCCAGTTGCTGGCATGCCGCAGCCAGGTACTGGTCCACAGACTGGGGGTTGGGGACCCCTGTCCTAGAATGTAAGTGATGGTAGCAGAAATTATCAAACTGTATGCTAAGAGGCATTGCTCTACAGACTCAGAGAACGCCTAGGACAGTGGTGGCAAACCTATGGCACGGGTGCCACAGGTGGCACTCAAAGCCCTCTTTGTGGGCACACGCGCCGTCGCCTCAGTCCTAGGCCTTCATCTGGGTTTTATAAAACTTTTTCGCTTTAGGCCTCCGCCACCGTGTGCAAAAAAA